CTACACTGGCATCATGGTTTGGTTCGGTAACAATAATCATGCCATTGATTCATCTCAATTTGATATATCGGTGCATCACGGTGCATTAATGAGGCTTTCCATACACAGTTTTATATTTTACTCCACAGCACAAGAACTTTTACATAAAATGTATGACTTATAAATACATTTCATATGTATTTGTAATACAATTTTGTCCTTTAATCCAAGCAGTCAGATATATGAACTGTACCTTTAATTTGACCTGCTCAAAGAAAACACTCTTTTTGAATGCAAACAAAACAAGTACATGCACAGAACAACATAAACCTTTAATAATAAGAAGAATTCTTAGTTAGTTTTGGGAGCCTCATATTAGAGCAATGTTATGTTAAAGAATGATAATTAATCCATACTAAAAAAAAAATAACTGTGAGCCAAAGAAAGCGTGTGAAAAACACACCATGTGCGATAATGAAATCTTTTAAACAGTTGCGCGCATCACAACCGCTTTTGGCGCAAGTTATCATCCTCTCATTCCGTATTCACAGAAATTATTTAAAGAATAAACTTACAAAGGACACTTAGAAATGTAGCCTTGCAGAGGAGCGCAGGGACAAAAAGGCAGTATTTCACTGTAACCCCTGGCCTTCTTGACATCAGCAGAGACTGACAGAAGCAGCATGATTTTATCTTGGTCCACTTTTGTAGCGTTTTTATACATTTTTGTGAAGTTGAAGCCTACATCTTCATCTAATAGTTTGTCGGCATGACACAGACCAACATTACTTGCAATACTGAGCAAATTTGGAGCACTTCTTACCTACTTTAGCTCTCTTTGCCACTGGTCCTTTACCACTGTTGTTTTCACATCTGGAAATTTACATATGAAGCGTGCTTACTGAGAGGCGGGATCGCATTAGCTGTAACAAGGCGATATAGGAGAATCCGTACCAGTCCTTACTTTTATAAGGATTACATAAAAAGAGATTATTTGTTTTCGACTTGAGTTGGTTATTGCAAAAGTAGACATACCAAGCTTTATATAGATGCCATAAATCATCATCTTGAGTTTCCTTTCATTTAAGTGACGTTTTTTTTTGACCGCAGTCTGCAGGTGTCTTCAGACTCTTGTAATAACAATGCCTCATGGGCAAACGTAAATATTATCCCGCTTGCTTTTCAAGCATAGTCGAGCGAGTTCTTACACCCCTGTGATTGGTCACGTGCTCAGCAGAAAGGGTTGCAATTGGCTCTAATACTCTGGCACTGTTCACCAATGAGTGACGGCAGTGGTGATCACAGCTAATCCATAATAGACATGGAGGAGAAAATGCACTCTGCAGACACACTCATGTCTGGATCCACAAGTATCGCTGTAACAGCCAAGAGAAGAAGAAATGTGTGCAGAGTTTATGCATTTTTTGAAGAAGTAGGAGTGTTTCACATTTTAATATAGCACATAGGAGATAAATAGGATCAGTAGGTAATAACCGATTAAGGATCTATTACTAAACCAATACCTAATTGTCTTCATCTGCATCGCAGTCCACTGAAGAAACAATTAATTTTGAAACCCCTACTTTTTCCATCCAGAAAGGATTACATCATTGGCAGTTCCAAATAGAGAATGTAAGCAAACATCATAGATGTATACATTAGATATCGCATAGGGACCCTGAGCATGCGTCAATAGCGCCACCACATTGGTACAGTGCTCCCAGGACAAATGTCAGCCGCACTAGTCAAGACAGTGTTACTATGTGAAGATACTGGACTTTAGCGCTGTCCACGGGTGTAGTAACGAGCAAACAAAGAAAACAAAGCACAAAGGTAGAACATTTCATAAGTAAGATTTAGTTTTTTATGTTTTTTGTATATTCTGAACTTTTGTGCTAAACATTATTGATGATAATAAAGTCTCTTACTGCATTCACCATAAGGCAAAGCAGCACCAACTCGCACTAAATTCTCAGCTTATGCTATTTTTGTTGAATAAAATCAGCAAACAATGTAAATAAAATATGACAACGAGATGCTGTGGTGCCAGAAACGTATACTATTGTCAGCTAAGTGAACAAGTCGTTCATAACGAAGATTCATTTACAATCGAATCGCTCCCTCCATCAGTATAAGAAGTGAAAGCAAGAGAGGCGATGTGTTTCAGGACACAATTTAACAAGAAGGGCGAATTTAACAAGAAGGGCGGATATTACATTTCCATACACACAAACACATGCTTTTTGTCAGGAATGCCAGTGGTCACATTTATTTCAAAGGAGCACTACCCTGTTCCAAAATGGCGGCTCTACTGATGCATTCCTTCCAATAGACAACAACAGGGTAGGCGACATCTAATGTATATGTCTATGGGCAAACATCAACAACCTATTTTTTATTAATTTTTTTGACATTTGGTATTGTAATTACTAAATGTATAATTAATTTTTCTCTCTGTATTTTAGTCATTTTTCCTAGTGAGCGTTCATCAGTTCAGGAGTCGTGGCTTTGATGGCAATTTGCAGCGTAGGACGTAGGCTTCCAGTGCAGTCAGGCTAAAGCCTGATTTATACTTCTGCATCAAGTGACCGGCATGACCCACGGCGCATGCAACGCGCGTAGCTGTGCATTTATAATTATGTGCGCTCTTTCTGTTGTTCTGCAATAACACTTCTGAAACGCTAGTTGGCAGTGAGGTGTTAATGTTCCTCTGTGTCGAGTTTCTTCGCTGCTGTTTTATTTTTTCTGGACACTTCCTTAATGTACAAGTGGCAACTCGCTTGTTTTAAAGCAGAAACCATAACGTGTAACAACTTTAACCATGAGGTAAACACAAAACAAAACTTTCCATCCGGAGCTCCTTCATGGGACTCCACACTCGTAAACAATCGCTCTATCGGGCTCATGCAGCTCTCGGTCCCGCCCAGACTCTTCAGTGCTACCAAGCCGACCAATCACAGAGCTTGTGCTACGCGTCGTTGCGACGTGTAGTTAAATTTTTTGAGAGGTGCGCGTCAGCAACGCAGACGGCCACAGTGTAGGGCTATGCGTCAACGTGTAGGCTGCGCTGTACTATGCGCATGCACTTGAAGCCAAAGTATAGATCAGCCTTAACATTAGCATTTTCCAAAATCTCATGTTGTACCTTTAATTTCCCTTACCACCAATTTGTGGGGAACCAAGTTGTAGCCCTAAAAAGGCAACTTAACATATCCAAATAGCTGACAAACCAATGACAAGTGTGTGTTATTAGCATCATAAGCATTTCAGTGGTTGACTACTGTGCCTGAATGTTAATTCAATGACTTCACATAATTATTAGTTGTCAGCCAATATGATGTTTGCTAGCTGGTAAATTGTTCAACTGCGTCAATATAGTTTATTTGTTTAATTATGAAAAGCTTTTGTATAATAAAATTGGAAACTTTTGGAAAGGGATTTCAATGTGCATGTTTTTGAAAACAATAATTTCATTGTCAGCATAATCTACAGAGCTTATACTCCTTTTTGCAGATCTATGTGAATAGGGATCACTTTGTTAATATTGTTGCCTCATTATAGTGTAAACATGACTCAAAATGTAGCAACATAAAAAATATCATAGGAATTACCCTAAATTTGCTAAAATAATTGACAGTCCATTAAAATCCTGTCTTAAAGTCTCAACAAAGTGTATTTAAAGAATTACTTCATTTAAAGAGGATTACTTCATCATTTACTCTCCCTCCTGTTGTTTTAAACCTTTATGTGTTTCTTTCTTCTGTTGAACACAAAATAAAATAATTTGAAGAATGATGGTTGCTGGCAAGAATGACTATGAAAGTCAATGGGTCATGAATAAATGGTAACAGAATTTAAATCTTTGGGTGAACTATACCCTTGTATATTTAAACTACAGTAAACTTTTCTTAATGAAACAGTAACCTGCACTGTTGTTGAAGCAAGTATAGATATGATAATAGTTATAGTGCCTTTAGTACTTTGTCAGCTCTGTTATATAAAATCTCAAACTTGCAACCAACGGCTTGTCAGTATATCAAAGGTCCCTTTAATAAGAAACCAATGTGTGTTTGTGAACGTTTCTGAGATCCTCCCAGCACGTGTTGGGAACTAAATTGGACACTGGACTTGTCGCAGGAAGCTTAATTCTTCCTGGCTGAGTTCTTGCTGACACACCAGACACACGGACCATGCAGTGGCTACTTTGAGCACAGCTGTGAGAAGAGCAAGGCATGAAAGTGTGCTGTAAAGTCTACAGAGAGAGCTGTTGATTTGTGTGAATGCCTCCCTGTCAAGTAAAGTTGCGAGGGTGGCCTGTGGTTGACAGATTTAGGTAACCTTTTCATTATTTAACATTAGAAGTTGTTCTCGTCACCCTATTTAAAGTCATTCATCATTGTCTTCTTATAAAGTATTTATAATCCTAATCTGGACTATTTCTCCATTTCCCTTTAGGCAAAGCATTGTTTCAAAGCATATAGACATCATTAGATTTGGTAGGAATGTTATGTTGCATGATTGCAAAGTTTTTTATGTAAGAAAAGTTGTGGAAAATAGTGAGCAACCAGATTGTTTTGCTGATTTGGACACCATCTATTGGCTTTTAATCCAGTCTTTACCCAAATCTAATGTTTATATCTTTCTATCTCTCTTTTAAATACACCCACTCTTTCTTTTGGTTGGAAATCTAATAAAGTCACCAAGAGGCATTTTAAATTTTATAGTCTTTTTTCCTCTAGCTTTGTGGTTTTCGAAGAATGTCCCTGTATTGGGTTTGGCCAGGCATACTCTCTTTTTTCTAGTTCTGGAAAAGTATAGTAATGCAGTAAAGCAAGTATTGATGTTTATTTTTATAATTCGAGTTGGTGCAGTGCGGCAAGTTGAGAGGGGTTTAATGGTGTTCAAATTCCCAAGGGTCGAAAGAGGCTCAAGTGTTAACAGACCCACCTGAGAGTCTGTTCATTGTATTCTTAAGAAACTCATACAAATTCTGCCACAACAGAGACAAGTAGGACACAGGATTAAAAAAAGAAACCAAACTTCTGTTATTTATTACTGTAAAATACATACAGAGAAAAACAAATCCAGAACAATAACAACAACAAACAACAGTTTCATCTTACAAACAAATTCCATGAAAATACGGATACGCCAGAGAAACTCTGCCAAAGGATTGGCAGGGACCAAACTGTACAAAATATGGGACCCAGACAAGCTCTCCTTGAAGTATCTTCAAGACTCTTTGAATGTGTTAACACTCAAAAAAGCTAGATTTTTTTTTACTTGTATTGTATTTCACAAGCTTGAGGGGAAAGGATTTTTAATTCTCTCTTAGGTTTCCTGAAAAAATACTTTCTCCATATACATATAAATACATTTGTGCTGTGCAAATTGCAAGTGTAAGGTCATCCTTACAGTCTAGAACCATCAAACATACCATTGAAAGACTACAGTCATGATACAAAGTATCTGAGTGAAAGTGGACATGTTTTGTGTGTGTGTGTGCAAGGAAAATGATCATGTTCATCCCAACCCGTTGTAAACATAGACGTGTTGTTGTCTTGAGTCCATTCTTTCTATTCTAGTGTGGGAAAACTGACTTGTAAAGCCAGTACGATGTGTTTGTAAAAACAATGTAGCTAACTATACATATCATCTGACATATCAGAGACCTAAATTAATACAGCTGCCTCTGGTTGTAGACAAATCCCAGGCTGTCCTTAAAGCGCTTAATAAAAGCCTGGCCCTTTACCACTGGAAGAAAGCCAGTGAAGAAACCACAAACTTTGATAAATAATATTACACAAAATATCAAAATAGTTTCAGGGAGCCAGCTTCCCAATATTTAAACAAGTATTTTTACCTCACTTTATGTTCATCACTTCAATGTATCTGAAGTAATTTCTCATAATGAACCATTTTTACTAGTTATTATATGATAAATAAATCGGTGAGGCATTGTTTTTATTACATATCACAGATGCACTCAATAGTATTCCCTGACTCTTTGATCCTGTACATTATTATACATGGTATGAACTTCTGTGATGTAGGCTGAGGAGTGACCAAACTCAGCGTCACTGGTGGGGGAAAACAGTAAAAAAGCCTGTCATGTGACCTTAGTAGGCACCAACCCCAACCAATGAGAGTTGCTCTTCAGGGTTCCATGTGGACGCTCGCTTTAGTCCTACCATTTCCCTGGTATTGGTGTACCACACTCGTACCATGCGACATAGTTGACATGGGAGTTTCCACCTATCTGGCCGAAATGAACTGGCTCTTGTCTCATGGCCCGATAGAAGCCTGAAAATGATCAAGAAAAGAATTAGACTCTAACCCAAGTAAACATTCACCCTACTGCAAGTGATGCTAGAGGCTGCAGTTTTCAGCATTCTTGTTTGTGTGCCTACTTAATATCTTGCAGATTGCGGCCCAAGTAGTACTTTATGGTTGCATTGGTGCCGTGACCCGGATAAAAGAGTAAGGTATAGCTGGGTGAGTGTAACAGCTAGTAAAAGCTGTATGGCTAAACCTCTCTCCCTTGATGATAGATGCTGTGCACTATATCAACTTTGTTACTAATACTTTTTATACTTCTACAACTACTAATATGTTAATCCCAACATGCTGTGGAAGTAGCATAAGTCTGCATAAAGGCTTAAGATTTCAAGCTTCAAAAATTATGCCAAGATAAACTTTTCATACATAAGATTAATTTATGCTCAATATCAAATATTTAGAAGCAGTGCCATGCAGAGACCTTTCGAGGGATAGGGGCTCAAGGTTGAAGAGCCGGTCGGAGTCACAAGCCACTATTGGGTGCTTGGGGGGGTGTTTACTTGCATTTTGAGGGCGGACACTTTTTCACCAAGAGAAAAAAGGGCAGGTTCTAAAGTGCCCAAAGCCTCTAACCCCCACCGCTTGCATGTGCCTGTTCATAAGTCATTTGATAGATTTATCAGGTTAACTGTTATTTGTATAGCCTTTATTTACTAATGATTTTTCCCTTTAGTAAGTTCTTCAATGCTGTGAGTTTCAGAACCCCTTTTCTATAGGGTTAGTTAAAGACGAGCTTTTTTCATGTAATCTGTTGGCGATTTAGACATTCAGAGCAATATAAATACATTTGTGTATACATTTCTTTCTTTTTGAGAATGGTATCTGGTATCTTGCCCTAAATTTTTGCCACTTGATTGCCCGTTGATGACATCATTGCACAATGTTGCCTGGCATTATTCATGATTTCATGTAGTTCCTGTACCTGGTCTGGATGGTAGCTGGTCTGCGGGAAGCTGAGTTCCCGTTCTGCCATCTAAGAATGAGTCCACAAACTGGCAGTGGTCTTCACCAAAACCGGTCTGGTCTCCAATATTGTGGAATTTGCCTGAAGAGATAAATAAAAAAAACCTTGTGATATATTCTAACACTAAAGAGACCCAAAGTATAACTTATTTCATTACTATTCAGAAGACTGACCGTTGAGAGAGTCACTCAGGTAGATCTTGTACCGCAGGGAGTTGCAGAGTTGGACACCAACAAATTTGCGGTACCATGTCCTTTTCACATACTGCTTCCCATTGCACTCAGAATAGGAGTCGGTTTTGAAAGGGAACTGTGTCCAAATGGCATCTTTACCTGAACAACATGCAGAAAAACCACAAAATGTTATTTTACTAGCTGACGAGATATTATGTTCTGGCACAGATAATGCTAAACAATGTTTCTTTCAGTGCTCTTTTTTAAAAGATCGCTGGAGTACAGACCCCATTTTTTTGTTTATACACGTGTTAGAAAAGGTCTGCTGGACATTAAGAGCCAAGGGGCTGTTCCATTAGTCTCTGTTTCCATTGGCTCCTGTTATAACCTTGTCTTACTATTGGCTTACTTTGCTCTCTAGATACGTTGTTCCATTACTCTGTCAATTTTGCCTCAAATAGACAATGTACAGAAAGAAATTGAGAGAGATTTATTTCAAGCTTGCCCAGTCTTGCAACTCGAGTGCAAGATGGTAACTGAGGCAGGAATGGAGGATGGTGTTATCCATTTGCCACTCTTGGGTAAATGTTTTGTCTGGCTGAGAACTTGGTATGGAAGAAGTGAACTCATAGGAAGTCTCCACAGCTCCTTTACCCTTTCTTTTCTTTACTTTTCTTCTACTAGGACTGCTCGTTAGATTATCCATTCATTCAACAGATAGGAATTTGTCAACTGAGAGAAACAGGGTACAAAGATGAAACACTTACCTGAAACGTTTTCGCTCACTCGAGGATCCGCTGCAAGAGAAAACAGAGCGTGAATGAGGAAATATCAGAAATTATAATTTTATTTTACAGCCACAGTCGTAGAGACTATCAAAATGATCTGTAGACCGTAGGAAAGTTACTGACACAAATCGTCCAACTCTACATTGGCTGCTCATGGGTGGGCAAGGTGCCTCGAGCGAAAAGAAAAAGTACAATAAATTCCAACAAGCAGAAAATAGTGTGCTTTTCCAGGCGATTTTGAATCTCCCTTATGAAGAGAGATCAGCTGGCATGAACTAACCTGCTGGATCTGCCAAAGCTATAGGGGAGAAACTGAACCTCCGGGGCCTTGGCGGTAAAATCTCATCATTCAGTTTTCCTCTATTTCTTTCCCGTCATTGCACATATGGACTCTCTTTCCCTCCTAGTTGTCTTTGCCCTGCTTTCCATTTTGTTGCTAGCCTCATTCTGTTTGCAAGCCAGACAAGGTTTCAAAACTAAAGCCTCCTCCCATAAAACATGTGGATGATATGGCTCTTTATTTGTTCCTTATTTATGATATGTTGTTACTGAGCTTGTAAGACAGGGAATGTTTGGCAGTGTGACAGCACTCCAGGGGTGCATCTGCAGGCACTGATGGGGCCAAATGTTACAACAGTATGGGACATGCTGGAGTCATTATGTTAATGACGAGCAACTCATTACATGTATTTCCATGAGATAAAGGAGAGGTCACAAATATTGGCTGACTTGTGCAGACAGCAGAGCCACATGGAGAGCTATGGTAAAACAATTTGTAACTCTTCCCATGGATATTTGACTTGTGTACCTAATACTAGGATTCGGTTTAGATGCAATGCCACATGGTTAAACTATGACAAAAATAAACATTGAGATTCGTCTGGGACATCACTTTCAGATTAATATCTAAATGTATATTAAAGTATGCTTATGACAAGATTAAATCTTTATCCAGCAGCTAGCTCTCTGCACCTCTCACATGGTCACCCACTGAAGCTAAGCAGAGTTGCACCTGGTCAGTACCTGGATAGGAGACCACATGGGAAAGCTAGGTTGCTGCCGGAAGTAGTGTTAGTGGGGCCAGCAGGCGGGACTCAACCTGCGGTCTGTGTGAGTCCTAATGCCCCAGTATTGTGAAGGGGACTCTATATTGCTCAGTAAACGCTGTCTTTTGGATGAGATGTTAAACCGAGGTCCCGACTACGTGGTCATAAAAAAAAAAAATCACAGGATGAACTTCAAAAAAGTGTAGGAGTATAACCCTGGCATTCTGGCCAAATTTGCCCACTGGCCTATGTCCATCATGGCCTCCTAATCATCCCCATATTCATCATTCTGTCTTATCTCTACCAATCAGCTGGTGTGTGGTCTGGTGCACTATGGCTGCCGTTGCGTCATCCAGGTGGATGCTGCACACTGGTGGTGGAAGAGGAGATTCCCTCCAATGTGTAAACCTCTTTGAGTGTCTAGAAAAGCGCTATATAAATGTAAGGAGTTATTATCATTATTATTATTATTATTATTATTATTATTATTAATTCTCTTGGAAACAAATGTTATAAGGTGCTCTGAGGTAAGAATGCCTTCCATAAAAAAAGATTTTGGTATGTCAAATGGTTTTAAAACTGTGAATGAATAATGTAATGCTCATTCATTCATTTTCTTACTGCTTAATCTCATTATTTATCAGGGGTCACCACAATGGAATGAACCTATATTTTAGTCAACATATGCTTTACACAGCGGATGACCTTCCAGCTGCAACCCATTAATGGGGAAACACCCATACACACTCATTCACACACACGCACAATACAGCCAATTTAGTTTATTTACTTCACCTATAGCGCATGTCTTTGGACTGTGGAAAACTGGAGCACCCGGAGGAAACCCATGCGAACATGAGGAGAACATGCAAACTCCATACAGAAATGCAAACTGACCCAGCCGGGACTTGAACCAGAAACCCTCTTGCTGTAAGGCAACAGTGCTAACCACTGAGTCACCATTTTACCCATAATGTAATACTGCAAAAAGTAGTGTAATTATTAATGTTTCAATAACCCTTCTGGATAGCAAAATTTTTTGCAGTGTGAACATGGCCATAGTCATGGTCATTAGTCATTAGGGTCTGCATGGGCCAAATTTTATATATTTTCCTGGGGGATCATTTTCTCCAAGTAACACTTTTGGTCATGTAACATGTCCAAATATTTTTTTTTCAAATAATTTAGATTTTTTTTAAGAAAGGTTTTATAAGAAAAAAGAAACAAAATTTAATTACCAGACTCTGTGCTGAAGGATACAGGTTCACTGGATGGCCCTTCACCAAGCTCATTCTTTGGCTTCACTTTGAATTCATAACTGTAATTTAAGACAGAAACAGGTGATGGGACATTAAGTTTGAATTTAATCTACAAAAAAAAAAAACATTTAAGTATATTATTTTCACATCAACTGACATAGCAAGGAGTCTGCTTAATCCAATATTATTAAAATGGACTTCAGTATTGGAAACCCACTGAGTTGTTGTCAAATTTGAGCTAAATTAGGTTTTTATTTCACTTCTTTTGATGCCTGACACATGATATATTTATCCAGCAGAGTCTGAAGACTCAAAGTCTGTGGCCTCCTTTAATGGATCCTCCATGTGTGATGTGGAAACATTACCAAGGCCCACGTGCCTCAAGACGCAGTCCATAGGAAGCCCTGGTTTATATTGTGTCCCCAAATCTTGAGCCTATATTCAGCCCCCCTCCAAGCCAAATCACAGAGCACATGCCCAAGGACTCAGGATGCATGCAATCCTAACAACAGGTATTTGACACCTACATCAACTAAAATCTCTCAAATTCAGCAGAGTGCCTTGCATAGGGTGGTTGGAATTCTGTAATAACACTGTACCTGCTCTCTGGTTTGAGGTTTTCCACAGCGGTATGTGTCTGGTTAGTTGTCAGAATGGAAACCTGTTCACCATCAGGACCTTTGGTAGTTGAGATGACCTCATACTCTTTTAAAAGGACAAAAAGACAAAGGAAATTGTTTAGGAAATAGTTTGAGTTAAAGGTTAATGTTTGAAGAATTCAAGTTGAAAGGCATCATTTGACAAATTGGGTTTAAGTGTTAAAGTCAGCATGAAATCGAAGTTAAGATTGTATTTTTTTCCCCATATTGTGATATCCTGAAATGAGAAAAAAATGTAGTGTTGCATGATTTTGTCCTTTGGGAACCAATTTTTTATTGGAAGCTTGGCATTGCTAACAATATGGAGCAAGATTGATGAATGGATGAAGGCAGAGCAGGAATGAGATGCACCCTGATAACCCTGTCCAAAAGGCATTCAATGTGACCAGAGGTGAAGAAAAGTCATGTTGAAGGAGGACTGAATATTATGTCATTTAATTTAATATTGATTTATTTAACATTTTTTATTAAATAATCAATAAATATGGTGAGGCCAAATACATTTTTCCAAAAAACTGAATGTCTTAATGATCAATATTGAGTGTTTGTATAGTGTTCAGTCTATAGTGAAGGTTATAGTTCGAATCATAAACGTTGAGGGTTAATGGCAAGGGTCAACACTTAGTCTTACTGATGGAAGTTAAAAAAAAATAGATGGTTAGACTTGCATCACTTTGAAGTCATAAGTTAGTTTATTGTTTGCTGAGGCTTCATGTTTCAACCAGAGTTTATATCTGGTGTTTTACTGAATCAAAGTAGGGGATTACTAATTTACCAGGTCAGACCAACAGTTAGTGTTTGATCGGTCAGATGGTTAGGGACCAAGGTGAAGGGATATTGGATCCCTCTGGTCAAAGCAGGCCAATTAAAATAAAGGGTAGTCAATGGGTGATGTTTGTTGAGTCAAATGGTCAAAGTGGACCTAACTGAAAGGTTACTGTTTAATCCAGGGGTGTTCAAACTCGATCCTGAAGGGCAAGTGTGCTGCAGAGTTTAGCTTCCACCCCAATAAGACACACAAGCTTATCAAGCTCTTACGAGGTGTACTAGAAACTTTCTGGCAGGTGTGTTAAAGCAAGTTGGAGCTAAACTATGCAGGCCATCAGCCCGCCCCTAAAGACAACCTAATCAATCACAGTTGCAGTTTAGATTTTGTGTCATACCCTAAACCCTTGACTTTGATCTCACAATATATTACATATTTTATTCCTAAGAAACAAATAGGTCAAATGATATCCATTCATTAATTTTCTTGTCGGCTTAGTCCCTTTATTAATCGGGGGTCGCCACAGTGGAATAAACTGGCAATTTATCCAGCACGTTTTTACACAGCGGATGCCCTTCCATCCGCACACACTCATTCACACACGCTCATACACTACGGACAATTTACCCTACTCAATTCACCTGTACCGCAGCACCCAGAGGAAACCCATGCGAACGCAGGGAGAACATGCAAACTCCACACAGAAACGCAGAGGCTTGACCCAGCGACCTTCTTGCTGTGAGGCAACAGCACTAGCTACTGCGCCACTGCGTCACCCGGTCTACTGATATTAAATAATGAATTTCCTACCTGTTGTCTCATTATCTGTTTTCTCCCAGTCGAGAATAATGAAGGAGGGACATCCTTCTACTGTTACAACGGTGAGGTTGGATGGTGCTGTTTTTGGAGGATTGGTGACATTTTGTTCTCCACCCTCCTCTTCGGGGAAGTAAGTTAGAGAGGTGGTGATGGAGCAAGGTTCATCTGGCTTCTTATCTGTCTTGTAGACCACATGTGGAGCTGGCCAACAACACATTCTTGATTAAAACAAGCTTCATTCACAGTGCTTGGCATGCATGTCTACAATAGATAAGAAAGTATTATTACCAATGTAGCGCTCTTTGCCCATGGCATCAACTTTAGAAGCAGGGACAGGGCTGAAACTTGAAGAGTTCTCCCAGGTCTCATACTTGGGTGCTAGGGAAATGTCAATAATTTCACAATGTGGTTAGAAACAAATTCTTTCCATCAGGATATTTACTATATGGAAATGTATGCAAGGATGTCCTATTAGAAAATCATAAAGCATCACATGAAGACAAACCTGTCACTGATGGAGCAGATGTTGTCTTTGGTTTGGATGGTTTGGCTGTAACAGGGGGCAACTTGGGCATCAAGATAGAAGCTTTGTCCTGGTTCACATCTGGTTTCATATCTTTTCCTTACATAAGTGAATACATGAATGTTTTAACACACATTTAATTAACATTTCTATATTCTAATGGTGAGTTATTATAAATCACAGATAATTTCTTTGGATGTTTCCTGAGGTACATTTTAATTTGTATGTTCAATGAACTTTTCACCCACCTATTCTTTCATGCATGCCCACAACATTAGGGTTTTTAAGTGCATTATTCGGGCGTCCTGCTGAAGAACCTGGAATGATGCAAGTGAAAGAGATGGCATGAAATCATATCTACAACTCTCGTCTCCCTTTTCTTTCATCTATATTCATTAGCACATGTAAACATAGATATGGCACGTCCAGAACAGCACCCAAAGCTCTGTAACACTGCAGCAAGAGGTCAGAGCAATCACCACACATCCTCATTTTATTCACACATCTCCCTAACAATTCCTTAACTATTTATCAGGCAAATAACTGCATATTGTAACTTCATTGACTTTAATTACAATATCATTTGTAGTCATAAAATTAACTTGAAATGAACCCCCATTAGCACTATGGGTTTTTTCCAATGAGTACCGTGTAAAGAGTTAAGGTTTAATTCTCAGGAAAAACAGTGGAACACATCACTACTAACTTATGTTACAGAGTCAAACATACAGTCCTCTATAAATTTCTGTATCATTTCTGAAGATGGAACATAGGAAAAAGTAGCCTTGTTCTGAACCACAATGTAGTCAAATGAAAACAGTGATTATCAAATCATTCTCCTAATCTATTTGCGCTTGAGTCTCAGTCTAAAAATATTAAAGCGGTGTATAATGTGTTCTGTATAATGTAAGAAATACTTCAGAGAACCTGTAATTTAGATGCTTTGCTAAATAGTAGTAGCAAATTGAGAGGTCAAGCTCATTTGAGAAGCCAATTACCAGTGAAAGAAAATACACTATTTACTTTTTGATTGAATGGATGAAGTCTAAACATTGGCTCTTCAATGCCTTTCAAGTCTTCAGTTCTCAATGCCATCTTGCAGTCAAGCCAAAAGCAAACAGGCAAGAGTACGTGAACCTTCCCAGGAAAACTGATTCAATTTATACTCGAGCCACCAGTTGTGAAACCTTCACTTCATCACAGGGCAATCAAACTCAGCTCAGCTCCCTAGACCTTGCGGTATGAGTTAAAATGACAAAACTGGGTGGCAAAAAAGCTAAACTATGCCGAAAATAACTAAAGACGAACAGATGTCTTAATTTTGCAGAGAGAAAGTACTTTCCAGTGGTAGGAGATTCCTGATGTTTTGAGCGATATATAGTAAGACCGATGTGTTGGCCGACCAAAGAAAGCCTTCAACTGCACATGATCTTTACTGATATCTGTCTTTTAGTGAGTAAACCAAGAATTCAAAATAATAGATTTTATCATTTAAGTGATAGTTTTTTAGATTTGTTCCACTGTTTTTTTTTTCAAGCTATATGTAATACTGTGTGACAATCACTTTACAGTCCTCATTTCGACTGTGATTGTTTTGTTTTTTTGTAGATTTTCCACTGACCCTGGCAGCAGTCATTCATCAAATAATCAAATAGTAGAAAGCATCTAACCTATCAAATAACCAGGGGCGTCATGTATCAACGCTGCGTACGCACAAAAACTTTGCTTACGCCAGGTTTCACGCTCAGAATCGCTCATGTTTGGATTTACTAACGATGAAATGAACGTGGGTTGTTCCACGCCAACTTCATGGCTGGCGTACGCACATTTTTTGTGCATGTCTGTTTTATTTCCATTGGTGACACCTAGAGGCAGTTATGTTAAATTGCACTCTACAAAGTGTCTTCTCAGCTGTACGGGTTCATCTGCATGTCTAGTATATAAGGTTTCTGTACCATGCAGTTGACCATCCAAACATTAAAGTGCTATTTTCAGCGGTCGCCGGTTTTCCCTATGTAATCGGAGCTATCTACTGCACACACATTGCTATAAAGGCACCATCTGAGGATGAATTTGCATACGTGAATCAGAAACATTTCCATTCAATAAATATGCAAATAAAATATGATGCACAGACTTATTAATGATTCCTACTTGTCTCCTCATGATGAAGAGAATAGGCAAAATCTGATATGTAGAGGGGAAAAAAAAGAGTAAGGGTGCTTTCACACATAAACTTTTGTTTCGGAACCTGTCTTGTTTGCCCAGTTAGCGCGGTTCGTTTGGCATATGTGAAACTGCCAATCGCTCTTGGATCCGTGCCAAATCAATCGCTTGAATGAGGTGGTCTCGGCTCGATTGAAACGAACTCTGGAGCGGAACAATTGCAGTGAGAAAGCAAACGATCCGAGCGCGGTTATATTACTGAGTTTTATGGATATGTAATAGACATAAGGCTATATGAAGAGAGAATTATGAGTAGGATGGGAAGTTTCGCGAGTCTCTGGATGCCCGCAAATGAGTGATCATCTCCCAGTAATCTTGTGTCTCCCTCCCATTCCTCATATAGGCTACGTCGCACACCCTTCTCACTCCTCCCCACCGCATCTATCCTCACTCTTCAGACACTTTGCGTGCACCTTGTCAAATACTACCAAACCACCCCCTCTCCTGACAGCTGAGCGGGACTCTGCAAAATAAACCCTGACACGCTGACCAATGTGAGAAGAGTTTACTCACACGTGACTTGTTTTAGCTCTTTTGGTCCATTTAGAAACTTTGCAGTGTGAAAGCGAAGAGCAAAGATCAACAATGTAACATTTGTAATCTCTGTTTCGGAACAACTGAATCGATTCACAGGTATGTAAGCACCCTAAGTTCATCAGACGCTGGATTCGAACCAAGTTCATGCTAGAACGTTACAAAACATATTGCCATGCATTTATCGAGCTACGCCACTCCCAACTCTATTTTTTTCTTTTGTTATTAATTCCGGAGGACAAACTTGCAAATAAAACCATTTTTCTCCTGTCTACCTCAGAAAGCAGCAGTTCCAATTCACATTCTGTTCAAAGTTTTTCTTTTTGCTTGCTTTTGCCATTGCTTTTTCGTTGGGTTTTGCCAAAGTAGAGTCATTAGCATATTCATACAGGGGAGGAGACAGGGAGGGGTTTTGCGCTCGTGCATGTTGCACTCAGTTTCACGTTCATTCAGATGTACAAAGAATTTGTGTGAGATTCGGCGTATGCAGTGTTTCATACATCTAGTTTTTTTTCTGCGTACGCACATTTACAGCTTTGTGCATATGCAATGTTTTCGTATGATTTCCACGCAAATCTTCATACATGAGGCCCCAGATGTTTAGGGGCCCTTTACATGACTCGACTTTCAGCTAGTTACAGAAATCTTTGAATGTATTTTGATCATTTATTTACATCACAAAAGGATTTTAAGTTGCCAAAAAATAAAAACAGTTCATTGTTCACTTAGTGTTGCATAGTGATATTGACAACTACTGGCATGCATAATACACATTTATTTTATTTTGACAACACTGTTTCAATGGCAGTGGTAAAATGATACTGTATTTTTAAAGTATGCCAGATTTTGGAAGTCACTTCCGATACCAAGTCAAATCTTAACCAAAATTCTGTGCCAGTTGTACTAAGTACATGATTTGGGGTAGTACTTGGACTAATTAGACTCAGATAATTTTGTCAGTTAGCTAAATTCTTAAGGCTGATTTATACTTCTGCATCAAGTGATCTGCACGACCTATGGTGCTTGCCATGTGCGCAGTTGTAAGTTTACACTTCTGCATGCTGTTTGTGTTAATGCAATAACACTTCCAAAACACTAGCTGGCAGTAGGTTTTTAATATTCCTCTGTATCGAGATTCTTCGTGGGTATTTTTTTTTTTTTGAACGCAACCTTAATGTACAAGAAGCTTAAACACACTATTCAGAGGCGGGACCCGGCGGACGTGCAACTACTTTAATCATAAGCTAAACACAAAACAAAACTATCCATCTGCAGCCCCATCATGGGACCTGACACTTGTAAACACTCGCACCATTGGGCTCGCGGCTGAAAGCACTGCTCACACTCATCACTCCTACCAAGCAGAACAATCACAGAGCTTAAACTATGCATCGTTGCAACGTGTAGTTATTTTTTTTAGAGGTGCGTGTCCGCGAGATATCTGCGGTGAACCATACTCATGCACTTGATGCAAAAGTATAAATCAGCCCTTAGTTCTATTGTACAACTGCTTCAGCACAGTTCATATTATAATCGCAATTCTTGTTCACAGTTTGTTCACATTGTTGGTGTAAACAGACCTTTACTAGGTCGTCTCATACAGGCATGAATTTTGCCATGCAAACTTTGTAATTTTATGTTATTAAAACTGTTTGAGCCTTTTTTTTTGTGCTACACATATAAACATTTTGCCAGACTGAAACAGACCCCATACCACATGGAAGCTCGTGACTACAATAAACATGCAAGTAGTCATGCACACAATGAACTTTAACCAGAAGCAGCTACAGTCCTCTGCAGAGGGGAGTTTCAAACATTATTGCTGAAATGCACAAATAAAAAGAGCCACAGAATGTTACGAGACAGTTTAGGACATTGCGGTAGGTCTCTGAATCCTCCAAAAGGCGTTTTTCCCCTCACAAATAATTGTCCTACAGCACCACGAGGGTTAAGAAATGAAAGAAACCAATCTGGGGAAAAGCTTTGACAATTACACCACAAAGCTCGCAGCAGCACGGAATCTGCAGAAGCTTGCAAAACAACGACAAACGTTGAAGACGACAGGCAGATTTTGCGAGCAAATGGGTTGACTGGTGAATGAGGGGACGGATGAATGGACAGACATGTGATTACAAGGAGATTATGAATGGGAAGGACACCGACATGTGCACATGGGCTGCGTCACAAACAGACTTTCTGCAGGTTAATGATGGCTAACACACACAGAGTACGAGTTGGCTCTGTTTACCCATTCTTGCTCTGGACCAGATGGCTGGTTTGGGGAAAGAAAGTCCTTTATGGTGCTCACCGTTTGCTGTTGGGGGGAAAAGAGTGGATGTTATGGAAAAAGGGAAAGACTAAGGTAGCATTAAATAGTTTTTGCTGAGTTGCACAGCAGCTGAAAAAAAAACTGTGGTTTATGTAGAGGGTTATAGGTGGCTGCTCAACTGCCTGTGGGAAAGAGAGGCCATTCAAGATCAGATTAGTGCAAATGTTGGCAGTCTGTGTACCCATCGTGCTAAATCGCTCATACTTTGTTAACAGTAAAACTGTCAGGTGTGACAGTATAATGGTTGGATTGCACACACACCATATGTTTCAAAGGAGAAAATTTAGCACTGCCCCAAGACAACTGCAACCAAAATAGCTTTCTGCCGAAAAGGGAGAGTGAAAAATCATTTACTTAAGTATTTTTGACTCATAAGACCAGAAAAGAAAAGAAAATGTTGAGAAAAAAGAAAAAGCAAGAAAAATATATAGATGAAATGGATGAGAAAAGATTTGAAAAAGAAACTGGGGTAGAGGGGTGAGAGAAATGTCTTTACCCCCATGTCTTCTTGAGGGGTCTCCAAGCCTGGGGGGAGAATGTCTCATGCCATTAGAGAAAGAGAAAGGGTTTCTGCCCAGTGATGTCTGGTTCCTGGTGGTCACTGTTAGGACTGAATTGGCAGGTTTGGATGGAAGAGAAGAGATGTCTCCCCGGATGTTCTTACCTAGATAACAAAAAATAAACAACAGCAGCCTTTGGTTATGCCTGGCAAACAAATTACTTACTAGGAGAGATACTGTACATTCATGTGAGAGATTCTGTGTGTTAAAATGTTTACAGAATACCAGATAGTTATTGGTGGGAATCTTTAGGGACTTTATTTCTTCAGGTGTATATATACATTTTACCAACTTTACATTTTAACCAGAATGCTCTTCATCTAAGAGGTTATGGTTCGTGGGAACTTTAGATATTCTATTTACAATTTCTAGAGCATAGTTCTCAAACTCAATTCCTGGAGGGCTGGAGCCAAATTTCAAACACAGCTGAGCCAAATAATCAAGGTGTTCAAACGAGTCACGAATACCTTCAAAAGTTGGGTCAGTTGTTCTGATCAGGGTTGGAGCAAAATTGTGCAGAGCTGTAGCTGTCTAGGAATCGAGTTTGAGGCCTATGCTCTAGAGCAGGGGTGTCCACACTTGGTCCTGGAGGGCCAGTGTCCTGCAAAGTTTAGTTCCAACTCCAATCAGACACACATGACTAATCAAGTTCTTACTAGGCTTTCTAGAAACATCTTTGCTGGTGTGTTTAGGGCAGGACCGAGTTTGGAAATCCCTATTCCAGAGAAAAAATCCTGGCGATTTATTCTCCCATACCCTACAGCTAGTCATGTTTCAGGTAATGTACTATCAAAAATATTTAGGATTTTTCTTTGTGTAGATTTGGATACTGATATCTTTAACCTCTAAATGAAACCCACAATTACCAGTAAAGTGCAGCCCAAGAATCTTAAATAGCACCTCTATGTGCTCAGTTTTGTAACAATGCTGCTTTGACTGCAAAAAAAGTCTACTTGGTGCTCCAATCTTGGCAGAGGTCCACATTGAAGTGGGTACTCGCTAACACCCTACTGAAAGCTAAAATAATGAATGAGATACCTTGTGGTTTCATCAACTTGACAGACACGCACACGACAGCCATTGTTGAAATGCACATAAAATGTGCAATTTGGGACTGGGGCATAATCTTTTATCAAAATGGCATGGTATGATCTTTGTTTCAAAAACCGTATGGGGTTGGTTTCACACATAACGCAGCCGCCATGTTAAGTACATTTTTGAATACCTACAATGTCTAAAAATACTGTTTATGTAGGCAAATTTCAAGGTTTGGAAAAGAGACATAATTATTTACATTAAGACTAGATGATACAACAGTGGTGTCTATGCTTTGATTCTTGCAATACTAAATCTGATGTGGTGGTAATGGCAGTAAAGTGCAGCAGTGCATTCCTGTGAAGACAAAACATGGTGTAGGGGAGGACACAGGAAAGCTGTGATTTCAGACAATAACACAGACATGATATACGCCAGTGGGACAGTTGTGATAGTTCGCCTGACAGAGCAAATAAATGAGAGGATTATGTGAACTGATGTCACTGTTTTTTGCTGTTTTTACTGGCCGTCTCACTCATACACACTACAGACAGCTCTTCCTGTAATCTATTGAGCTCCAGTGTGAAATAATGTCTGTTTGTGGCTGAAGTTACAGAATTACTACATTTGATTGAAATGCGGTTTGAACGTCCATTAATTTCCTTTGTATCACTTTCCTCCATAGCCACCCCAAAAAGAACTGCATAAAGCTTTGAAGTCTGATATTCTGGTGTTTAGTCTAAGTTTTAATGGTAGAATATGTAGCCAAAGGTTGAATAATAAATGGCAACATAAAATACCCAATTATCTGTGTGAATTGCTAAAGCAGTACATTATTTTCTCATTATCTGTCAACCATCAGATGAAAATAGTATTTGTTTAATGAACTCTGAACGTAAGCAGGAAAACCAAAGGAGGAATTACCAGAGGAACCATGTGGCATCTGAGTGGCACTAGGTGCCTTGTTTTGAGGATGTCCATGTAGGGGTGCCCGGGTACTGCTGGTAAGGGATTGGGGAGTTGGGGTAGCTGAAGAACGGAAGGGTTTAGTGGGTAGGAGTTGGGGAAGGATGCGGGGGATCTCCACCAGCTGAGAGGAGTCATTTCTAACATGACTGTCTGTATCTGTTTAAGAAAAAGGAGCAGATGAGCCTCAATGCTGGAAAAAAACAACAAGTCATTCCAGCTCAAGGTGGTCTAGTTGGTCAACAATTTGGAAAAAAAAAAAAGATCCAGCTCAATAGCTTGGCCAAAATAGTCTAGCAGCTCAAACCAGGTTAAAAGACCTGGGGATGTATTACAGAAATATCCTAGCTTGGATATAGCTTGGCCAAATACTCTAGCAGCTCAAACCAGGTTAACAAACCTGGGGGTGTATTATAGAAATATCCTAACATTTAAATATTTTGTTTAGAAAGCATGCAATCAGGACTACTTTTATTACAAAGGCTAATACAGAACATTGTTTCCTAAGTGTGTTTCCTATCTTAACTAAAGATAGGACAGTGGTATAACAGAAACATTCTACCTTTTTAAAAGAGCACAAAAAACTGTCTTAACTGTTGGACAACCTTACGGCTAACTTCAAAATTATTTAAAATCCAACGTAAAAAAATGCTGTCCAACAATTGCATTACATATATTAATTATTTAAATAAAGAATGAACAAAGACATTTAATTGTGAAAAGACTCTTGGAGAACCATGAAGATAGCATCAACTTAGCATTTCTACATCAGTGAAAATATAAACTTGTCAGTTTTGTTAATCCATATTTAGGCTAACTCATTAGCAGCTCACTTGGTTTTGTTGACCTGAAAATGGATTGTCGAATTTGATGAGATTTCCTATTAAGATTTAAGCATCATATCTAAAGACCTAAGATAAGAAACTTTCTTTAATACACCCCCTTCCTGCAGAGACCCACTAGATGGTAGAATGGTTGATAGACTAGTTTAAACCACCGGAAGCTGATTTGCCTAATTTTCCAGCATGGCTGACTATTGAGACCCTCATTAGAGTAAAATTTGTTAGGAATATTTGTTGGTGCTTTGCCTTGACCTTTAAAACATTTGTAACATTACTCAGTTTTATTCCATCAAGGCATAATGGTATGGATGCTCGATTGCCTGTTACTGATATTGACCATTTGTCTTGATGGTCTTGTCAAGGGATTAAGAATAAACTCATTGACTTTTGGTCTCATAATCAGTTTGGCTTCAAGTGGAAAAACACAGAGTGTGTTGTACTGTTATCTTATCCAGAGTTCAGAGACAGAGGAAGACAGGAAAGGAGGTGAGACTCCCAGAATTCTGCCTTTCCCTGCTAGAACTAAAAACACGGGATTGTCTCTTTCTCGACATGCAGTGACTTCATGCAGACTGAATAAAGGCCAGCGATTCAAGATGCAAAAAAACTCAGAATATGAATTGAAGGATCGATGAGGTCAAAGAAGAAGGTAATTTAGAAGCTTGAAAGATGAAAAATAAGGACAAACTACTACAATTACAGTAGTAAAAGTGTTTTTCCTTCATGGTTGACTACCTACGAAAAACTAGTTTATAAAAATGTAATGATATTTTTCTATAAAAAAAAGTATGTCTAAATTTTCTCCTAAAAGGCTACAGTCCTGCAAAGCTCCAATCTAAATTAAATACACCTGAATCTACAGGTAGTCAAGCCATTTACTCTCACTAGCAACTACCAAAAAGCTGGAGAAGCCAATTACCGCAGAACATTGGTCTTTCAAGAGCAGGCTTGGACAACCCTGTTGTTTAGTATCTGCAGAACTGCAGTCCGGTACAATCGTTTGACATTATGTTTTGTAATTATTTGTGAATATACTAGCAATTTCTGTGTGTAAACTTGTGTTTACATTTTTTTTTTTTTTTTTTTTTTTTGGGAATATGCACAGTGCCAAAGTAAGAGACAGAAAAAGACTGACAGATATAAAGACATTGAGTTCCATTTATGGCAACAGTAATTAGACAGATGGGAAACTGAAGAAATCAAACATTTATAACAGTTATGATGTGATTGACAGGTGGTGACATGACAGGGGACTGAATGGGCAGAGATGAGAATGACAGGGAGAAAGCTGATTGGTTGACACAGAGTCTGACTGGTGCTGATGGGTGGAGCGTGAGCAGGCCTAGAGAGATTGTGCCAATGCGTGACCATGCGTGACCACAAAGGGGCTTTTACTTCATAGCACCCTGGGTAAACTTACACTTACACTTCCTCCTCACTGTGGAGGCGACCCATCAGGAATCCTCATCATGGTGGGATCTGGACTTTCTAACTCGATTTTCTTACAAGGCATGCCAGCATGCAGCCAATCATAACAGCGGATGTCTTTAATCCCCGCCCACGCCCAGCAAAGCGATTACCAAATGGCTGCTCATAAGCAGAGCTATTTAGAACAAAACTTCTCTCGATTACCCAATGGGAGCTGAGGCCATTTTGGCTCATTGGCTCTTGGAGCAGCCACAGTTCCTTGCTGGCCCATTGGAGGCGCTGTGGGAAATAATGGAATGTTTTGTAAATGGAAAAAAATAAGGGGATAGAAAAAGTGAGCAGGCATCCCCAACAAGGCTCTTGAGAGGGAGAGAGTATTAAATATCTTTACTGTGAGCATGACTTCAAATGCCAGTTTTAAGCGAATGACTGGAATATAGCCAATTCCTGTATAAAAGAAGAGTGTAACTGAAAGAGTGAGAAGGAAAATTACCAAAAGATGTCTTGGGACCTCCAAAAATGCCTGTGTTTTTGGATGGCACTGGGTGGCTTATGTTGTTGGGAACTACAGTGCAAAGATTGCGAAGGAAGAGACCAACAGAAAACATGTTCAAATTGAGAAAAGATTGAATGAATTTTGAAGTTGCATTGAAACATATATTAAAGAAAAGACTTCCCCCAGAAATTAACAGATCTGTCATGACTTACTCTTACTTTTGCAAGAAAAAAACTAGTGTACAACAACTAGAATATCCAGGGTTATAAAAATGTCTGTCAATGCTCAAAAATAAATCAAATCAAGTGGGCTAAAAATGTTTTGTGGCCTTTTAACAGCCACACACGTTTTGCCATCAATCCACCCACTGATTTAAGCATACTGATACAAACACATGATCATAATAGTCCATGTTATAAGAAAATTCACCAAAACAAGATATTCAAAACTTTTAAAAAACATAATAAAAAAACAACAAAAAATATGAGTAAATGATGACAGATGCATGCATGTATTATTTAATAACGGATGGGGTCATTTTTTAAAAGTAGCAGTTGATGATCTTACCAGGTCGAAGTGGGAACGGGCTGTGAGGTCCACCCTGTAAAGAGAGGGTTTATACACTTATTTTTTTTTCTGAACTCTAAGTGTAGAGTGAAAGAACACAGAACAGCTTTCGGCCCTCATATCATGTAAAAGATCTCTATAATCAGGGACTCTCCACCGTGTCTAAAGTGTTCCTGAAATGTCCTGACAGGCATCTATTATTTTTCAGCCTCCACCAGGAATATTGAATCCCCTACATACATACACATGCCAACCTCTGGATTCTCGACTCAAGAGATTAAGGATATGTGAGAAAGAGATTGCTCACAGGCAAAGCTCTGTACATCTATGACAGATCATAAATAGACCAGCATGGACAAGGAGGCAGTCTTGGATAAGCGTGTTGGGCATGTAGAAGAATGGACACGAATGGTGTGAAAAGTAAAAATGAAGTGCTAGAAAGATATTAAAGTCATTTATATTGTCTTTTTAATAACTAGTAACATCAATGAGGTTGCAACAGATGTTCGTAGTGCTTAAGTGTGTTGCTATGTGGTTCTAAAGTGGTAATCAGGACATTACAATTTCATGGTTGTCCTGGTTGGTTTTCAAGGTGTTTCTTTGCATTTTTAGTTATGCTGTCGGTGTGAATGAGGCTTGTCAAGGCTTTACTTAACTTCTTACTAGTTATCGCAACCCTAACCTGATTTCACCAAGTAAACATGTTCGTGGATCGACATCTATGTTGATGCTGAAACAATGTTCCATTTAGCCAATCAGAATTAAGTGATACGTTTACAGTTTATGTTAAGTTTAGGCTTATGGTTTATGCATTTCTACAAGAGTGTTATACAACTATTATTCCCCTCTGATTTTGGGAATAATTTTCAGTTATGTTTGGGTTTAGGGGTAGGGAATAGGTATGGATTACGTTTTCGAACAAAAATGACCTTCCAGGATCAACATAGATGTTAATCCAGGATGGTGTAGTACTTGGCAAAATCATGACCTGCTTATCGCAATGGTTACTAGGATGTTCTCTTTGATTATCAGGATGTCACTATACAGTTACTAAGGTGTTTTGTGTAGTTATCAGAACATTGCTATGCAGTTACTAGGGTGTTTGGTCATGATCACAGTATGCTATGCAGTATGTAGGGTGCCCTTGGTGGTTATTACAGCACTGGCTATGCAGTTACTTTGACATTCATAGATGTTATTACAGCAGTTACTTCTGTCAGTTGTTCTAATGGGTTACCAGATTATTGATAAGTGCTTAGGTATTGTTAGACTGGGCATTTTATGGGATATCAGATCATTGGTGTGTGGTAAGTAGGGTGATTTTGGGGGTTGTCACGAGGGCTGCACAATTATGAAATAATTCATGACCATGATTTTTATGGTCAGTACTATAATCTTGATTTTTTTATGATTATGAGTGGTCAAATGACCAGAACGTTTTTGAGTGATATATGGTTGTTTAGGGTAGGTATCGGGGTATACGTACTATGGTCACTAGGGTGTTATAAGATGGATGCCAGGTAGTTACTTAACCTGACCTGTTAGTTACTTATTATTTTGTAACCAGAACAAGTGTTTTGTTTGTGGTCCCAAAGCCAAATTATTTTGTGTCAGAATGCAAACATGGTTTAAAATAAATCAGAAAGCACTACAAGTTGAGTAGAACATGGTTTTGCCTACGGGAATAAAGCCATTAGCCATTAAGCTGAGATGGAACCAAAATATAGTACTCACCAAAGGTTTCGCAATTGGTCTGTTGTGCTTGTAGTTTATCTGCATGATTTTATCTAAAAAAAAAAAAATAAGAGCAATGCAAGTTAGAACTGCTCATATTTTGCTTCTTACCCCCAAAAAAACTTTGAAGTGATGTTTAGGGCATCTGTTACCTCCCATGTTAGTGTTGTGGATCACTGGCTTACTCCACATTCCACTTCGGTCATCTTTGTTGGGTCGGACACCAAATTCATAGGGTGTGTTGGGCTTGAGGTTGTCAATCACGGTATCAGAGGTGGAGCAGGTCTGGTAGATCCACTTCCTGTTTCTTTCTCTGTAGCGTATGGTGTAGTGCCTGGTTCAAAGACAATAATAGCATCTAATAAACAAAAGACTCCAGACTCGAGACCCTGGATTTAGCTAGTTATAAGAAATCATCTGGTTTTAGATTAGAAGTAAAGTGGCTTCCCCTCACTATTACAGCAGTCAGGGGTTGAAAAGAGAGGCTGATGTTAGCTTTATTAAGAGCACTGGTACATGACTTTAGCTCCCAACTGTTTTGGTGCAGGTCAACATTTCCAATGTCCTTTCCAAAAGTCTCCCTTTAATGGAGGAAAAAAAAATCACATACTTTTGTATATGAAAACCAGAGTGAGTTAGAGACTCATGTCAGTGCGTCCCAACAGTGCCTGTATCCTCAAAAAGCATTTAAACATGTAGACTCACACCACACCTGCAATGGCAGGGATCCATATCCCACACATTTTTTTCGTCTGTGTAGAAAAAAACATTGCGCTCATTGAATGGCTCTCTCGGTTACGCATCATAAATCCAGCCTCCTGTCAGTGCAGTGAGAATATTGAATAAAAACCTGCACTGCAATGTTTCTGAGGACTGGACCCCTAAATATTGGAGACAGGGTGCCATGATATTTCATTATCTTTTTTTCCCCAGTTTTTTTTCCAGGCTAAGTGGTCCCTAAATATGAAGTAAAGTAAATTAAGTCTTCCTCAGGGATTCAGGGCACTCATATGGAACATGTTGGTGGAGGAAAAAGTAAAATCCAGATGTTGTGTGTGTAACTCACCCTTCCTCCAAGCAGTCGTTCATGATGTTTCCCTCATAGGGTGTCTTTAAGTAGGTTCCCCAGGATAAAAGCACAGATGTTGGTGTGACAGAATCAATCACCAGGTGAAGAGGTTTCTCCAGGTTCACTTTACCTGTTTCAAACCCAGAGTTATTAATATTTAACAGAGCAATATGACTTTTTTGGAGGTTTTCAAGCGTACCCATTGGTTTAATAGTACATCTGTTGTGCGTTTTCCACTAAATATACAATCGTCTCCAGCAATAGTTTCACAGTATTTTTTTATTTGTAATCCATTGCCAAATTCTTCTTATTTTTAAATTAATTTTCCATGTTACCTGTGCAGTGCTTCTTCACATCATTGGTTGGCATTGGCTGAACAGCCACAAGGTACTTAGGCTCGGCATCTGTGAAGAAAAGCAACACAACTCATTCAAGGGTTCAAACACTTTTTGAGATCTCAGATTTCTCTTGCGAGTGCTATTCGCACCTGCTGTTCTTGTGTAAATACACCAAAGGCTGCTGTCAACTGACTAAATGACTGACTGACCGATTGACTGACCCACTCTCCTCTTTCCTTAAACCCAACCAATAGTGTTTTCAAAAGCACAGATTTCATTCTTTTTTGGCTTCTGTTTTTGTCTTACCCTCATTCTGGAAACATTTTTCACCGTACTTGAACTCTGGCATCGTGATCAACTCCACTCTGCATCTAAAGCCCGTCAACGTACATGGCGAGCTAACTGGACAAACTGGTAATAGTGGGAAGGCCGTCCAAACGGATTGCTGGTAAACGGCATCATACTGCCCCTTAGTGTTCATTTAAAAGACGAAATGCAGCAATATGTACTTCTGCATACATAATTTGCAAGCTCCAGAAATCTATATAGGGCTATGTTTTCAGAAAGTAATTTCAAAGCCTGAAAACGCAATAATTGTTTCTCTCTTATATATATATGGGGTGTCAAAATTAATTGTTTCTTCTGTGCACCGCGGTGCAGATGCATCAGTTCAGTAATAATCATAACCAGTTATTATGTACTGACGTAATTTATCTCCTATGCGCTCTGTCGCGAGGGAGGTGAGCGCGAGTATTTACAACACTCAGCCAACTAAGGGGCGGCCCGTGGCATAGGCACCATAGGCAAATGCTAAGGGCGCTGTATATTCAGGGGGGTGCCAGAAATGAGCGCAGTTCAGTTGGTTTTGTTTTCCATATTCCCGACACACATTCAGTTATAGACGGCAATAACTCAAAAACCTCTTACCCTAAAAAGATCAAAAGTGTGTTTCCTACAAAAAGACAAAGCTGGTTATGTTTCACAGCTGTCTTTTTTTTTTCTCTCGACATTACGAGCACTGCTCCGTTTGAGCCCTCGCATTATGTGTTTAGCCGGGAGAGCTCGCGCTGAGAGGAACTCTCGGTAAGGGATCGTCGGAAAAGTGCTTCTTTTTTTCGTTTTTTTTTTTTTTTTTTTTTTTTCTGCTCAGCGTGAGCTCTCCCTGTTGCAAGGGCTTAAGTGTGTGTGTGCGTGTGTGTGTGTGTTTGTTTATTTGTTTGGTGCTGTCTATGTTTGTGTATGTTTTTGAATGAGAGACAGTGTGGTGCTGTGTGTCTGTGTGTATATACAGACAGCTTGTTATAGCCTCCCCCCTAAAATATAACACTGTATATAGAAAGCATCATCAATGCACCGTGATGCACCGAGATATTAAATTGAACCGAATCTAAGGCATGATAATTGTAACCGAATTGTGAGACCAGTATTGGTTCACACCTCTAATATATATATATATATATGTGTGTGTGTGTGTGTGTGTGTGTGTGTTTGTGTGTGTGTGTGTGTGTGTGTGTGTGTGTGTGTGTGTGTAATTTGTAAACAAAACAGTTTGTGTTTTTGTGTTTTTCTTGCCAAATACATCTCACATTCTCTCATTCATGCCATGCGTTGATAATTTTTAGCTCATTTGCATTGACTTTCAATGTAATTTACTTGCATGAATACTTATTTCTGTGTTTGTTGTGAACCTAATAAAAACAGATAAATGTGGTGAGAATAGATTAATATATTAAATACATATTTAAAAATATATTAAAGACATTTACATGCTTACAAAAACTATAAAGTGTAATATTAAGTGTAATTTTTTTTTTGAAAATGGTATAAAGGTAATGCGTTATTAGATGCAGATTTATTCTAGATCATAGGTCTTAAACCAGTTTTGTTCCCACCCTATCAAACACAGCTAAACCAAATAATTTTTTATGTTCAAGAGCCATGGACACCTTCATTAGTTGGATCAGCTGTGTTTGATCAGGGTTGGAGCAAAACTTTGAGTTTGAGACCTATGATCTAGATCCTCATTGCTCTTATTCATTCACAACTCCAAAAGATTGCTGGACTATTGTTTGGTAAAATGTCGAATTGTTTAATGTGAAACTTTTCACACAGTTTATATCTTTGTGATGACAGCGGTTTACTAAACATCCGTGTTTCCAATGTAACAGTATTAAACAGTATGTTTGCCAGAAATTGATTTGTTAGCAGTGATAAGTTTGCTTTATGCCTTTATAACAGTTATGAATATGTAGACAGGGAACTTATTTAGACAGAAATCCCATTAGGATGATGCAAAATGTGCCATTAGCAAAGTCGGCAACTGTCTGGACAGTTATAAGTGTTTGTGCGTTTGGCATGTCATTTTGGGAAGAGGCCAATAATACGCCTTAGCCTTTTAGGCCATCTGTTGTGCACGTGTATCGCATTGAATCCTCTGCACACACAGTAAATTCAAAAGCAGTGATCCTTTAGGTGTTGGCCAATATTAAATAATGATGTGACTAAGTATTTCTGTGCTGGATTGTGTAGGTGAAGAAGCCAAAAGCTTAGAGGCCCTTCCTTTTGGAACAAACAATGCTTTGTTTGCAAGCTTCTGAAAAAGCGTGTAACCATCAATGTGTAATTTTATTCAGTGTGCGTCTGTACTTTCAGCTGTGCAGAGCATCAAAAGCTTTGATTTGGAGGCGGATTCTTGAGATTGTTCTAATATAATATTTTATTGGTCACACTTTACAATAAGGTTCATTAGTTATTGTTAATTAATGCATTTACTACCATGAACAAACAATGAACAATACATTTACTACTGTATTTGTTCATATTAGTTAAGGTTAGTTAATGAAAATACAGTAGTTCATTGTTAGTTCATGTTAACTCATGGTGCATTAACTAATGTTTACAAGCATGAACTTGGATGTTAATAATGCATTAGTAAATGTTTAATTATGATTAATAAATGCTGTACATTTGTTGTTCATGATTAGTTCATGTTAGTAAATGCATTAACTAATGAACCTTAATGTAAAGTGTTACCATTTTATTTTATAATAAACTGTATTTTTCTGGGAGACTGCATTTTTCTTGGTTATTACAATTCTGGCTGATACGGCTAAGCTAAAAATTATTTCATGTTATGGCCAGTAACTAATGAGTGGCTGATATGTGGTATCTACAAAATCTGATCATTATTTTTATGTTATGGCCAATAGTTCTGCACAAATAATATACGTTTTATCAAATGGAACATGTTAGATTTATTTTCTAAGCCATCTAGTAGATGATGTTTTTTGTTGTTGTTTAAATTAAAGTATTAAGCATTAATAACTAAAATCATCAGGATAATTTGACAGCATTATATAATTGTATTAATAAAATATATATATTTTTATGTTGTTAATATTATATCACAGCAAGCTGTTGAAATATCAAATACCATTATACAGACCCTCCAGGATTTCTTAATTCTGGGGTCCACGAATTGAACTCAATGTCAACTAAACATCCCAAAATTTCACAGATTTCAAGGATATTTTGGGCAATCAGGTTACTGTTCAAATTCCCACCTCACCACAGAGTGTAATCTGCATAGTTTTACATTTAAAAACATCCACAAAAAGAGTGTACTCATCCACTTTGCAAAGTCTGGAAATGTCAATACATGTTTCTTGTCCAAGTGTGTCTGTCTGCAAGCTGCAAGACAGGGACATAACATGAAGGGGCGTAACTTGTAGCAAGTCAAAGAGGCATAACTTGCAGTTATCGAGATCCCATTAAACCATGGGAAATGTCACAATGAGATGTTGTAGGCAAGTTGGTGGAAATACTTAACAGAGAACATTTTCACCATATGTTTTCAAGAGTTTTCTCCAAATTTATCCACAACCAATCAATTTGATGTATTATTATATTAATTCATTTAGCAATTCCACACGCTGACTTTTTTATTCATTTTTCAAGACAGCTAGTCTGCTCTGTATCACCCTCTGTGGTTGCAAATAACAGTACAATGGTGAGCATGTCAAGTATGAGCGCAGATGTATGTTAATAACTGATGGTTGGGTTTAGTTTTGGGGAATGTGTAGACCTTGATAACTGTGATGGTTGGGTTGAGGATTGGGGTAGGTGTAGACATTAATAAGGGAGCTCTCGAGACCTTTCTGATCTTGGACCCCCTTAAATGTTTAACTATTCAGGAGCCCTGGGCCCTGTCCCCTCTCCCCTGGGACAGCATGCCAAACCTGCTCATAGTGTCAAGCAAGTTGAATGACTATCCAATACCAATTATTGGTAACACTTGTAAGTTAATGTAAGTTAATGTACATTACTTACTAAGATTAAGTTTGAATAATCTTGGACAGCATTTATTAATCATAGTGCAAAGTTTTGCTTGTTAAAATTAGTCAGTGCACGGTAAATTAACATGAACTAATGGTTTAAATAACATTAAAAAATCTTTAAAAAGATAAAATAAATGGATTGCTAATTGTTTATTTTTGTTAGTAAATACATTAATGCAAATACATTTTAAAGTGTTCCCCAATTTTGCATCAACTTCCGCTAATACTAAATGAAAAAAAATCTGTATTATAAACTTATAATCAAAATTGTCGCATTAAATCCACAAGCAGCAGCGGCGTGTCCTGTTTTAACTTGACATGCCAACTGAAGCACCTGGCGAGGGTCATTTAGTAAAAACTAACATTAGCTTTAGGGTCTCTTTAACCTGACCCTCACCTCTCCAGAATGAACTCTGGGATTGTAGCTCCTGGGACATGTAATGATTAATAGACAACAGGAACTTACTTTACAGAAAGCGTAAATGAGGTTAATGTCACCGGGAGTAAAATATGACCTTTCTTAACCTTGTCAAATATGATCTGTAACTTTTTGGTGATGACAAAATACTGCGGTTAAGAAAGCTTTAATAAATAGCAGTCATTTGGGCTTGAGTTACAGTTTATGTTTTCTAATAATGGAAGAATTGGCGCAAACATAGGTGTACAAATCAAGACCGCGGTTTCGATGGGGCAAGAAATCGACCGTTTGTGGTTACTTTTTCATCCCTGTGCTAACCCACAAAACAACATTAGCGATTGTGTTGTGGGCTTCCTACGGGCTCTTAAGTGAAATAACGGCTGCCTGTGGTTTAGCTCTAACTTACCAATCTCTGTCTCATAGGGTTCTCCGTTTTCTGGAAGCTGGATGAACTGTTTGGAGAACATGCTGGAGCCATAGCCTAAGATGTAGCCTTCAAGTTTGACATCAGGGTTGGGTCGAACAAACTTCAAAACAATTGTATCTCCGGTGGCATTGATGCGAACCTTCATATTTTGTCTTCTTACTGCAAAAAAGGGAAAACAAAATGTGAATTACTGGCTCATGAACCAGTGCTGCAGCTCTTCTAATGTTTTCAGTTTCTGTGTTTGACATTCATTGGCAGTAAGACGTAATTGCACAAAAAGAGCAACTTTCAGAACACTGCAATGAATAAATGATTAATTACTTAAAGAGTAAAGAGTAAGACTTTATGCTTCCCATGTGTTGGATGGGGATTGTGAATTTACGGAGTTTATTGATTTATGAGACCAAAGGGGGATGGAGGAGCGCTGTTTTTGAGAAGTACAAAAGTGTGTGCTTTAAATATCACCATTGGGGTAAATCAAGGGCAATGGCTTTCACAGTTGAGCTCCTCTTCACTTCTCTCAAAGCACAGTAGCATATGGACCTCCAATATTAGTTATGCTGCATTACATCCAGAGGAATTATGAGCCTTTGTATGTTTTCGGGAATTTAACACGGACACACTTTTAAAGTAATCTGATCATTATCTTTTCAATCCTGCACCAAGAAATTCATTATAAATGACCTCCTCCTTTATACCAGCTTCATCTTTCACTGCCATTTCATTAGATAATTTGCAGCGTGGAAAATGTTTTGAGTCAGTTTCAGACCCATTCCTAAATCCAATAAGCCACCTAGGCTGAGTGGAGATTTTTCCACTTCCACCTTTTCCCCATCAATCAGAACTGTTTAACGATTATGCTGAGTTAAAGAGGCCACGAAACGTCCTCCTTAAACTGATTTAAACTGGTTGGTCAGGGCTTTTGGAAAGTGATGTGTGTATTTAACTTCATGAGTAATTGCAAGCTTGGCAGGTCAAGATCATCACCTGAATTTGTCAACGTCACAATGAAGTATCACACTAACAAGAGCTTTCATCAATCAGACTTATTAAAGGGGCAGTTCACTTAAAAATGAAACTTCTGTTAATACTTATTCAACCTACTGCCATTCAAAAACCATTTAATATAATTAATATAATTTATTTTTAAACAATGCCAGGTTCCAGGATTACTAAAGAAGGATATAAGTAATGTTGAAATTAATACGTTTAATCAAGTCATACAAGTTTTGCTTGAGTATTTATTGACTATCTTGCCATTTATTAAGTGTACATGTGGTATTAAGATTTTGTTTGTGTGAATATAATCATAATTGACCAGTTTTAAATACAGGCATACATGAAGTATACAATGTGTGATCTTATCCACTTACAAATGATTGGGTCAAATTAGTTCAAACTGCCACAAACACAATTACTGTACTTTGCCTACTGGCCACATTTAATCATTAAATGAAAATCACAATACATTGTACGATAACACAATGGGTGCTACTCAAATTACATTTGTTGACCACATTCTCCAACTGTTTACCATTGTTTACCACCTCAAAAAAAGCTGATCCCTAAATTTATCCAGTTTTTGATTCCAATAATTTGGTTAACATCTCTCCAGAATAGAGGATTTTTATTTAATTCGGAAGTACATAAAGTCTATTACATCCTCACACATCAATATTGTATGACTTCAAAAGACCACAGTGGAATATCGAGCACAAATCTCATGTCTCATGGATTTTTTCTCTTATTTATGTTAAGTAGTCACTAGTAAAACAACATCCCTTGGTGTTTATTAAAACCTTTTAGTACAATCCTGTTTTTATAATAATCATCATTCACATGGATCAGTAAAACTGCCTAAATCCTGTGTGTGTATGTCTGTGTATGTAAAGACAAAGTTCTGCCATGAAATCTATTGAGTGATGGCTGACAAGTCATATACAATCTGCTTTCAACTACAATGGTGAAGATGATTGGTTGATGTGGCTTCAGCAGCCAATGAGCTTGCTCATCAACATTTAAACACCCCTGTGTTGCTTTTATAAACAATCTGCAGCATGTTTTCAGATACCCTCCTCTACCCCAGCACCACCTTTGTAAAGATCTGATACAAGGCTTTCATGTACTGAATGTTATGTCTACTGCAGCAGTGTATTAAATTCTCAGACAGTCTGTTTGAAAATACACTGGCAGTAGCAAAGTCTTGGTACTCGCTCTGCACCAATAATCAAAGCAGCAACAGCATAGCAGATCTGTGTCACAAAGACCAAATACATCAACATTGCCATATACTGTAAATATTCATTACTATACTAAATACCTCGATTTGAAAGATTTGTATTTACAGGCCCCTTAAATTGTTGTTGCCATGTAACTAAATAGCCAAAATAATTTTTTTCTTCTATTTTTTACTAAGGAGGACCTTTCGGATTCCTCTATATTAAAGTAGAGAGTCTAGAGGCGAACTCGTCTTCTTAATCTAGCGAAATCAGTTAAACAAACAAAAAAGAGGATATGTGTGTGGGATAGGGAGCTGCTGGATTTGTACAAGGAAAAAAAACACACTTCTGAATCACTGGGATCACTTTAAAATAAACTTCCTCATTGGAGAGTTCTTGAGAATGAACCCTACTTTCGATGTGCCCTACCATTACAACCATATCACTTTGATTAAGTATAATTAAAAGGCATGTGCAGTCTTGTTTCTTCACCTGTTCTTTCAGCAGCTTGATTATTCGACTCATAAACCATGTCAATGCAGCTTTAGACTGGAGCCAAGGCTATGAGTCATGGACAGGCTTCACACTTGCGGTTGAGTGCTATTATTGGTTTACCTTTCCTCACCAGCTTGTCACCACAGAGGTTTCAAAAGCTGTAGCTAAGGGACATTTCCCTTTCCCCAAAAAATTATAGGTTGACAAGAGTTGTAAAAAAAGTTGCTTTCCAGTTGCAGCATGTTAGTGGAGGGGGACTGGGGCAGTTTGAATTCTGTGGTCAAGTGAAATTCACTCTTTTTAAGAAAATAATGCTGGTATAAGAATTTGAAGGCTAATGTCAGTTCTTGCCTGTAAGTATAGTAGTCAATAATTTGATCAAAACCTTTTATCAAAGTTGTCCTAAAACTAAAAACAATACCCGCTTTTGTCTGAGGATGACTTTGATTCACTTTTTTCATCCACTTTCAAATGGATAACTTTTGATCCATATTAAAGTGTACATTTAACTATTTAGTTAGTCTTAATTCATTTACTGAAACCAGTTTGGTTGCAACATAGATTATTTATCCTTATTTTTATGCTTTTGATGAAGTACCATTCAACTTAGGAGCCTTTTAGACCATGTGCTGGATCGTTTCTCCATTTTCGCAGGTAATTTCTTTAAATAAATAATTATTTAGGCCTATTTAATTATCCATTTATTACTTATGTACAATATTTAAGGCATAAAATAACAAACACAGAACATCTCTCTATATTTAAACTAAAACACTGCTTTATGTATTTATGTTTGTACTTGGCGACGCAGTGGCGCAATAGGTAGTGTTGTCATCTCACAGCAAGAAGATCGCTGGTTCGAGCCGCAGATGGGTCAGTTGGCGTTTCTGTGTGGAGTTTGCATGTTCGCCCTGCGTTCGCGTGGGTTTCTTCGAGGTGCTCCGGTTTCCCCCACAGTCCAAAGACATGCAGTACAGGTAAATTGGGTAAGCTAAATTGTCTGTAGTGTATAAGTGTATGGATGTTTCTCAGAGATGGGTTGCAGCTGGAACGGCATCCGCTGTGTAAAACGTGCTGGATAAGTTGGCAGTTCATTTTGCAGTGGCAACCCTGGATTAATAAAGTGACTACGCCGAAAAGAAAATTAATGAATTGATGAACGATTGTTTGTACTTTCATTTTAGTTGTCTTTTATTTCTTTAATTTTAATTTCCAAAATGAATCCACATTGCACTTAGCAAGTTTACAATGATAATACAGCTTATTAACAAGTTTTTAATGATTTATGAAGGAATTATAATGCTTTGTTTTGTTTGTTCATCTTCATTTACATGTAGCAATGCATTTACAAAAACTATATATTTCTGTTAATTCGCATCCCATCCCTCGGCATAGTCGCAAACTGCTGTTACATCTAAAAACATGTTCTTAATATCTTGGTTCCGCGGCGGCGTCACTTACAGAGGTGTTCAAGCGTGTCACACATAATACACATTAACCCTATGTACAATACAAATCTACCCTAAATTAAAAAAAAGTTAATACAGCTTAGGGCATAAATAAAGGTTAAAAAGTTTTTATTTAATGCCATTGAAAAAGATTTATGTAATTTTTGTCATTTGTGACAAAATTATGCTGCTTTTGTCAAACATTTTTCATCATTTATGATACAATGCTTCCTGGTCACTAACAGAATTGCCAAATAATCAGTAGGTTTTACATCTGAATTTAAATGCTCTACTCGGCCGTTATTAAAATACGCTCTATACAGTATGTTTATGAGTAGTTTGTATAGAACTTAAATGTACTACACCTGCCATTTGGTCATGATCGCGTGACCTACCCAGGTCAGTTGCGTCGCTTCACTCCTGTTCATGAACTTTCTCGCGGGGCATCATGAGATCATCAGATTTCCACTTATCTATTCAGAAGTAGTAGGTCATTGGGTACTTATCGCAAACTGTTTTTCGAATTCTATTAATTCGGACATACTGTTCGGCTTGCATACTGATTTTAGCACACTAAATAGCATGGAAGTATGCAATTTCAGACGCAGCCATAGTATCACTGGATCCAAAAACAAGCGAAAAAGAAGCATATGATATGCATAAAACAATCATTAAACATTCATTCACATAAATATGTCAAATGTTACTATATAAATTTTAACATTGAACGCACATAAAAACGCACAAAAAATGTCGAACGCAAAAAAATGAATACACATTACATATACATATAAAGGTAAAGTTTTGGCAGTGTTGATGGACCTTTTTTGTGCTCATCATTCCAAATCGAATCCAAATACAGTATTTAAGCATTGATTGTGATACTCGATTACTTGATACAAATCACTTTAAATAATAATAATAAACTTTTCCAACCCTAACTGAGTTTTTGTTGTTTACTTTTGCAAATAAAATCTTAATTATTTAATTGTCAAATAAAAATTTTGTTCTGCGTCACATGTGGTAAACATATTTTATCAAATAAATCCGATCCATGTAATTAGTAATTCTGCATTTTTTAATAAAAAAAATTTGATATTTTACCTTTTAAAGGCTGGAAGCATAGCGGGTGGTCGAATAGCAAAGATATGGAAGCGAACTTGACACCCCTGACAAGCGTAATCATGCATGCTCTTTCTTGGCGCTAACGTTGAATGATTTCCAGACTTAGACTGATCAACATCATATCCAACGTCCTGTCCCAAGCTGTATTGTGTCAGATATGGTTCATTTTTAGCATTTCGCATGAATACGGCCCAGTATTTATTATACGTCTGGCACTTGTTCCACTTCAAACATAATTTACAAACACACTGATTTCTAGAAGGGTCAGTTTGATTTGCAGCATTCTCTCTGGATTGAAGCCATGCTACAGAAGGTGCTTGCCAAGTCTGCATACAAAATCACTCCACTTCATCAAATCAAATGTCTTAAGTTGTTTATTCTTCATGTTCAATAATAAGTCAAGAAAACTAGATGCATCCCAAAAAAAATGCAATATGTCATTGTATGTAACCCTAGACAACACAAGTCACAGCTGTCTATTTTTAGAAAATTAGATCAATTGAAAACTGAATAAAAACATTTCGAGTGATGTCTATTGTATTAGGATAGGATAGATTATGGTCAAAATAAAACTATATGTAAATTTTGAATCTGTTCAAAAAATCGAATGCTGAGAAGGTTGTTTAAAATTTTCCAAATTTAGTTCTTAGCAATGCATATTACTGACCAAAAAATGTGTTTTGATACATTTAAGGTAGGAATTGAATAAATATCTTAATTGAGTTTGATTTACTTAATATTTTAAGGAATTCTGTTATAAAAAAATGTATCATTTTGGTCTAGGGTCATATTTTTGCACCCTTAGGTCCTCCACAACTGCCAGACTTTAATTTCTTCAGGACAAAAAAAGATAATGTATGCTTGTCCATTCTATAAAAGCATAATTTCCAATGCAGTTTCATCATCGCATGGTCAAAAGTTGAAGCACTCTTTCAAATATCTTTATTTGAGTAAATTATGACAAAATTTTGATTGTTGACTGAACAATTCCTTTAAGTATTTTTATGGAAAAGCAAAGAATCTGGTCCTTATGTAGCACCCCATTTCCTTTCGCACCACATTTCTAGAACGAAGTGACCCAAATTTCCAAGCAGATGATTTAAAAATGGCACTAAACTTCAGAAGAAGAAAATCACCTTAGGGCTCTGAGGGAGAGTAAATCTACTGTTTTCCCAGACTTCAGCAAATCATTCGTCTTTCAGGCACATTTACAACAGACCTGATCTCTGCACTCAACAGCTGCTCTCCTCTCCCCTTCACCCACCAAATCCTTTCATCCTTGTTGTCTTATTCTGACTTTTTTAAAGATGCTTATCTGGTCACATCATGATACTAAAAACCAGTACCACTCAGATGATCATACTCATGATTGCTAATACCTTTTCCAAACTCAAAATTAAATTTTTTCCTTGCCCCTGATACCATTTGGCTGGAGTTTTCAAGGTGCATTGTGAACCTGCTGCTTTTACAGTACAGCTGCCTGCACATGTGTTTTTAAGCTGTCTTTGCCCCAAGGCACCTTTGAGTACAGTAACATGTAGAAGCTCCGTCTGAGCTAGGCGAACATGCAGACAGCTCAGACTGCTGTTTCCTTTTAAGGCGTCAATTATCAATCAAGTTCATTCATGCTGAAACAAAGCACATATTAAACCAGACTATAAGGGGTTGGTGGATTTAACTGGTTTGACATGGTCTAGCTAGTCTGGTCTGTCCTATCTTACCTTATTTGAGCCAGGGTAACTCAAAGATAAAGTCTCAAATAAAGAAAAACATGTCCTTATCAAGTCTATAAGTGTTTTAACATGGTCTGTGTAAGCAAACTGGTCATATTTGAGTTTATACAGTAGGTCTCCCACCTGCTTGACCATCTAAAATTCAACTGTTAAAGGGATGGATCACCCCAAACTGAAAATTCTGTCATCATTTGCTTACATTTTTAAGTGAAGTGCTCAAAACCCACTCTAAAACCACCAAACCAGACTAGACAAGTTTCTTTTCAGCAAGGATGAGATGATCAATTGTAAAACGTGTCTTCAACCCCTTTTGAACTCAATCCCAGTTCGTAATTAAACTTTCTTTCTGTCTTCTTTGTCAACATCCATAAGGAAATGAAGTTGGCCATTGAAATATAAACACTGAATGCTGCTTGGCTGACTGGCTAGATGTGCTGAATGACGCTTGGTACAAGAGACAGGGCTCTGAGCCAGTGCAGACATTCATCCCCTTAGGAGATGAAGGTGGTTTTTAATAGCTGATGAACGAGCGCTGATAGTGAACTGAGAGCTTGTATTACTAATGCCCCAGCTAATCTGAGCTGGGAGCACAAAATCTTGGAAAGAAACATGCTGCATTCCCACACACCTTTAAAACTAAAGAGAATGGGGCTAGATTATGTAAGACATGTACTCTGTATGGGATACTAAAAAGTATTGCATTCATTTTGCAGATGTATATTCTCTAGAACACTTTCTTAAATTATATACACACACATGCACAAAGAAAACATTGATTTTGGCCAGCTGCATACTCCATGAGGTAACCATTATCACTCTGGATTTTAGTCTACCAAAATTAAAGGTCATTTTGCACCTAGAAAAGGCAGCAATTTCAGTACCTGGCTGGTTTTAAAAATTGGAATTTATACAGTGGTGGACAAATTGCATATGTCCTCAATTTCCAGCACCTTTCTGGCTCCAGATATAATTTTTTCCTCTTTGCAGAGTCTATAGTCATGCAAAACTGACTACTGCATTTAATTCTCTTTAAATAATACACACTCAATTATGCTCATGCATGAAAGCACCTCCAAGCACAAACTAAATTGCATGTTCATAAAATGAATGAAAATTCAAACCTACAGCCAATCCAGAACATCCACCACACATGCAACAGGTTAATGATGATTTTTTTGCCACTAGCTAAAAAAAAAAAACGCACCTGCAGCTTTATCAAAAAATAAAAAATCTATTTAGCCTCATATTCAATTAATAATTATGAGAAGTACTGCAGAAATGCATGACATTTTCCAATACAAACAGTGGCATCACAAAAAAATACAGTTTACCACAATACTTTTTGTGCAGATATGGCATTGTAAGAATTTGCCACCATGGTGGTGAACTTGCCTCTAACTCTTTGTGCGGAACTGCATGCGAAGAGGAGAATTCCTGCGAGCGTCAGAAGGAAGCCCAAGTGAAGGACAGTACTGCCTGCCATGGTGCTCTGCTTCAATTGAGAAGGGATGCTGGCTGATTTCTCTAAGAGTTGCTGCTGGTTCTTCTGCTAGTGCTGGTTTCAGGACTTCTTGAGCTTACTGTGTGCCTCAGCTGAGTGACAGACAATGCGAGGAGTCCTCTAGGATGTATAGTGACCAGAGAGGGAGGAGATTGCTGATGCGTGCCTTAATCACACCCACCTTCATCAATCCACACACACACACACTTTTGAGGGGGGTGAGCATGGCTTTCATTTGCTGGTCTTGCTCATCCACATGCTCTCTCACTTTTTTCTTCCAGCAAGGATTTTTCCCCAATGTTTTGTGTGTTTGTGGGTGTGCATGTCTGTGCTTGTGTGAGATGATTCCCTCTAAATTTTGATTGGACCTAGTACATGGACTTGGTGCACCCTTACAATGGCAAAATGCCCAAAGGGAGACTGAGTTCCAGGATGGCAATAAATGAGCAAGACATAAGATGGACAGGTCGATGGCATATGCCTCTCTTCTTCCAGAAATATGACATGGTGGAAAGTAAAGTCTCTCTCTGTTTCATCATTGCAGACTCAAGCACTTGTCTATCTGTGCCCATTGCTAACCACTGTAAATTACGTCTCGTCTAGAAGGGCATTCAGCCACAAAACCCATGCCAAGAAACCTCACCTCTAGGGAAATGATTCTAACAAGTGCTTCCAACACGTGCCACTGCATGCGACGTGCAAAGGGAAGCACTCGCTCCAGTGAGCCTCATCTGACCCACAGTATGTGAACAAAGGCATATTCATGAATCAAGCCACCCCAAAACTATGCAATGACAGCCCCTAGCATGTTTCTCGTAGTTCAGCATCAGAGAACCATAAAACAAGATGTGCTCTAGAACGTCCCGTGCTCTATGAAAATTAGTTTTGAAGAGAATTGCTACTAAAACAAACTTAAACAAGCAATTTAGAAAACCACTCCCTACTATGACTCAAACAAAACGTCACTAGTTCAAAGCTGTAATTATGTCTAGAGTTGCTTGATTTACCAAAACAGCAGTTTACAATAAAGAACGTTGCCAAAATCAAGTCAACAGGCCATACAATGCCTTTGGCAAGAGCTTTAACCTTGCGTACCTCTTTCTAGTTCATATATAAATATGGTTTCTACAGCTGGTACCACTCTGAGGCTCTGTGATTGCCTTGTAAACCCTTAATGAGTCACTTCAAAAGACAGAGCTGGATAAAGCTGAGGCTTGGACAAATTAGAGAAGACTTAAAGACAAGAATCATATATTACTGCTTTGTTTTTCATACCTGAAAACATGTTGACCTATAACCTTCCTTAGGAACATGCCTCAAATTGTTGCGTTGTCATTTATCTACTGAACCATCACCCTGAGTTCAAGCAGCTCACCTTTCAGCTGAGCAGTGGATTATGCAATACTTGAGCTTCAATGATAGTATGCCAACACCTTTCTAGATTAAACCAGCCAGATCTCATATGCAAACTGTTATATAAATTGTCTAAGAGAATAATTTAAAACAGTTTATCCGATTTCATCTATATGAAAATGATTTTTTCTAAAGGAGCCATGCCTCATAACCCCACCCCTAACCGTAACCCACTTTGGATGATAACAACCCAGGCTTATTATTGATACATACCCCTATATACATTTCTGGACATCGCCAAATAGATCCCAGGAGGTACTTATTTTTTGCATATTTTGTTTTTCCGAATCCACCAGAGGTCGTTGTGTATGCCTTTTTTAAGATCACACATTTCTTTCGCAAGTGGCATTCAACTAAATCCACCAGACGCCACTGTCTACTGAATGACTAACTGATTCTCCCTACCCACCCCCTTTCTTAAACCCAACTGGTAGTGTTTTCAAAACCACTTATTCTTTTTTAACCGTTTTTGGGGCCAGGTGGTGGGGGCAGCAGACTTAGGAGAGAACCCCAGACTTCCCTCCCCCCAGACACTTCCTCCAGCTCCTCCGGGGGTTTCCCGAGGCGCTCCCAGGTCAGCCGAGAGACATAGTCCCTCCAGCGTGTCCTGGATCTTCCCCAAGGTCTCCTCCTGGTGGGACATGCCTGGAACACCTCCCTAGGTAGGCATTTAGGAGGCTTCCGAAAAGTCCACTAATGTATGTGGTGAGCCACTGGCCAAACTGATAACAGCATAAAAGCTGTCCACATGGAGGTAAGAGGTCAGCTGGTAGCGCAAAAATGAACAAAAGCCGGCGGCAGCATCATACTACACCGTTTGCTTTAAAGACGAAATACATATGTAGCTCTGGCTACATAACTCGTGCTTTCCAAAAATGTATACGAAGATACATTTTCACAATGAGATTGTAATGGGGTGATAAGCAAATTGTACTAAAATTCACCGATATCTTACAAATTCCTACATATTAAAAACTAATTAAAAGGTTACGAATAGCCATGAGATTGTGTTAGGTTCTACGCTACACTGCAAAGCGTGTTAATAACCTACACTGAAAAATATATTGTTAATAAACAGGTTCCATATTTCATGATTCAGTTACGAATTGCATTACTAGACCTTGATCTGTACCCTATTGACTTTTGATGCACAACATTCTAAGTAATAATCCAAATAACAGCAGACTTTGATTTGAAATTAATAATTCAGATAATATTCATTCATTTTTCATTGGTTTAGTCCCTTATTTATCAAGGGTCACAACAATGGAATGAACTCCCAATTATTCCAGCATTTTTTACACAGTGAATTCCCTTCCAACCCTAACCCAGTACTGGGAAGCACTCATACTCTCGCATACACACAGACTTATACACTATGGTCAATTTAAAACATTCAATTCACCTGTACCACGTCTTTGGACTTTAGGGGAAACCGGAGCACCTAAAGGAAACCCATGCAAACACGGTGAGCACATGACGGGGAGAACTGCTAACACAGAAATGCCAAGTGGCATACTCAGTACTTGAACCAGCAACTTTTTTTTGCTGTAAGGCAACAGTGCTAACAACTGAGCCACCATGCCTCCATAATTCCAATAATATTCTCACCTTTTTAATATCAACTACTGAAAGTCCATACTTTCATAGGAACCCACACACACATGACATAGTCTGCTCATGGTCTCTCCTGCTACATATCAAGTTGATGAGTGTTGAAACTACAGGAAAGACATGACAGGCTCCATGCAGTGTGTATGTCATAGAAATCATGGGTTATATAACAGCTTCACCATGCCTGGCCTGCGAATCGAGCCTCTTAGAAGGGAAAATAATTCTTAGACTTACAATGCAGCCATTGTCTTTTAGCCTTGAGCGAATGGCATCAGATGGAGTGTGGTGCGGATCTATGAAATTTTTCTAAAAAGGAAACAAACATTTAAACCCTCCCCTGCTATACATACAGTCTATAACGGATTATATAAACGAGATGTTCCATGACTTAACTGTCAGGTTGAATTGCCTTCCTCACAGGTATCACTGACACAGGCTGTATTAATACCACTCAGGTTTGGGCTTGTTCAATTTCGTATTCCACATGGATGAAATGCTGAAGCTGGTTTTGCTCTGAACAGCTGAACTTGCATGGGTTATATTACTGCAAAAAAATGGCCAATGAAAATGTCACCTCAAGTTATGGCCACAATTCTGATTCTAAACTTTATTCTGACATTCAGCTTGCACACATCAAGCAGTTCCTCGGATTTCAAGGCCTGTTTGATATATATATATATATATATATATATATATATATATATATATATGCACACAGAAGCATTGTTATTCCCATCTGTGAGACATTTCATGCTAAAATTAAGCCCAGCTCAAAGCAGCTCTAAATTACTTGAGCAAATGTTCAGCAACACTCTCTGCTGACTTTCATCGAAGTCCAGCCACTTGATTTACCAGAAGATGCATTTAGCTTGAGAAAGGCGAGGTTGCAAAGAAATGGCTTTCAAAGTTTAATTATAGTCTAAAGTTACGTTTAGACAATAATTTACCGAAAACAGAAAAGCTGTCAACATTATCCCGGTTCACACAGATATCACATTTTGACTATAACAACTGTATATTCTAGAACAGTAGATGGTTATGTCACTAGTATCTTGTGCCATACAAATAGTCTTGTAGTCTGCTGTTGTTGTTTTGGTTGTTGTTGTAGTTTGAGACTATAATGGTGTTGTATTCCAAACTTTACATTTTGCATTTCAAAATGCTGTTTTCATGTAAATTAACTTAAAAGTGATAACTCCCATAGAGTTAAAAAGTTGAAATTTAAGATTTTTTAATCCATTTAGTAAATCTTTGCGTCTGGTGGGAGCACTTTCAACTTAGCTTAGCATAGATAGCCACAGCCATATCACCCTGCAGCCCAGGACCAGTTACTCACTGAAGCTAAGCAGCGCTGAGCCTAGTCAGTACCTGGATGGGTGACCACATGGGAAAACTAGGTTGATGTTGGAGGTGGTGTTAGGGAGGCCAGCAGAGGGTGCTCAACCTGCAGTCTGTGTGAGTCCTCATACCACAGTAAAGTGAGGGAGACACTATACTGTTAGTGAGTGCGGTCTTTCAGATTAATCCAATGGCACTTCTTGTAAAGATTAGGAGTGTAACCCTGGTGTCCTTTTCAAATTCCTCCCAATCCAATCATCCCAATTCACTGAATTGGCTCTATAACTATCTCTCTACTCCACCTAAAAGCTGGTGTATGGTGAGCGCTCTGATGTCTGTGTCTGCAATGGATACTGCACACTTGTGGTGTGGAGAGACCCCTCATAATTGCGAAACGCTTTGGGTGTATGGGCATACACGATCAATAGACATTACATTATATAGATCACTAAATCGGTTTGTACCATCTCGCTCAAAAATGATTCAATAATTTTCCTAATTAAAGCTTGACTTCTGTATTTACATTATGTGGTCAGAAAAAAGAACTTGAAAAGTTAACTACACAGATATAAACTATACTCTCATTCTAATGTATAATCAAGGAAATTTGCTGCAGTAGGTGCAATGTTAATACGCAGTGCCTGAAAATTGACTTCTGGCAATATAACCAATGTGACCACCTGCTAGCGTGAGCTGTTTTTCTTGTATGTTAGCTAGCTGGAGACTATTTTCTATATTTTAATCGC